GTCTGTTCTTTCTTCTTGTAACGGATCCGGACAGCACACATAGGATAACCAAATGGAATTCGGTCAGCTAGGGAATTTTCGGGGGGAACACTCAATGATGTTCGCATACCAACAAGTTATCATGAACTATACGAGGAACCTCTTGACACTCGTAAAATTAATATTGCAGATTCACTCTGTTAACGATGTAGGATTAAGTGAATAACCATAATTGTGTCTTGTATGCGAAACACAAAATACATCCGTAGCTCGAGATGCCAGAGTTCTGGCTTATGAGACCTGTTCTCTAGGTTGGCGAAGAATCCTTGAGTTAAATGCTCATATGTGAAGTTAGCAGAGTCGTTTTAAGAGATCATCGGTAGTGTTTTTCCAGCCCTACCTTGTACGTGGAGAACCTATCGGTGGAATAGTATCAACTGCGGGATGAAAGTAAAAAGGTGGGGATGGGTGATAATCAGAAAGGCTTTGTTTTCGGGCCGTTATTACATCCCAAATATCCACACCGTATAGGTCACTTTCTGCTCACAATACTTGAAACACAACGAACTTTGGTGATCTCATGACCTACGGGACAGCTGTTTGAGTTTGTTTTAGGCTTGTGTCCATATTAAGATCATGTTACCGCAAGGTAATTAGGGATGTATAACTTTCTAGGTTGACCTTTACTAGAGTGTAGCTGGAAACAATTTATTGATATTAATTTCCAATCACTAGCGGTACAATTTAGCCATTGAATCTACAACACTAAAGTGAGAGACTGATGTTAGTTTAACCACTACCTTTCTGGTATAGTAGGATGTGCAGGTAACAATAGTTCTAATCAGTGTAGCTCGTCGGGTCACTGCGATATGCAGGCCCAACTAACACACTAAGGTAGAAGCTATCGGTCAAGCATCAGCGAGTTGGTATAACGCGAACAAATGTATCTGGTAATTCCAACTTATACTGTAAGCGATGGCTAGCAGAAGAAATCGGGATAAGAGTTACACTTATTTAGGACTTGTTAGCTGGAAATCACAGCATCCCTATGAATGAGAGTGTTCCCACCAACTCATTGGAATTTAGAATCCACTGTTTCAAAGTCTGTCACTTACTGGGTTGCAGGTTCATATATCTTAAGTGTTTCGAACAGAATGTAACACAGATCCTGGATTTCAGTGTTAGTCACCACTTATCAAAGACATTATGGAAGAGTTCGTTTTAATGTCCACCAGGCTGAAACAGACTGGTCACTGCAGTTCAATAAGACCAACCAACTGGAGTCTCAAACTATCACTAAGTACTGCCGACTTCATTCTTCTTCTTAAGAACTCAGAAATTCCCAAAATGCAGTGCGCAATAAATCAAATCCAATCGATCCTACTTTCAAGCTGAACTGTTAATTTTGTTAGACCACCGGAGAGAAAATATTATGGAGATTGGAAAGTTGAACAAATCGAAAAACAGATGAGTGATGTAGACGAATGTTCTACTTAATATCATTATAACGAAAATATTCATTCAAACAGTTAGAAAAAAATTGAGCAAAGAATAATTCTTTTCGATAATTTCTTCTCCTGACTCTACAATAATGTATATATTTATATGATCAATCAAACTCTTAAAGCCTTTACATACTAGAATAGTGAAACACAGAATAAAAGACACCTTTGGATTTGTTGAAAGGATAAAAGATATAAATGATGACAATAAATTCATGATATTATTTGATGTATCCTCCTTATTCACCAATGTACCACTTATGGAAACAGTAGACTTTGAATGTAAAGAACTCATAAGATGAAACACTGATGTCTGCACTCCTATATCTTTTGTAAAAGAGCTTCTTTTGAAATGCACAATGAATGTCCACTTTTTTATTTAATAAGGAACTATACAGACAAATTGATGGTGTGGTGATGAGGTCACCACTAGGACTTATCCTAGCCGGAATTTTCTTTGCAAAACTAAAGAACGGGCGTTTGAAAGATGCAATTAATGAACTAGAATTCTACTGTCAGTACACGGATGATACATTTCTGGTTGAGAAAATGAGGATGAAGCGAAGAAAATCCTGGACAAATTTAACGATGTTCATCCTGCAATATATTTTACCATCGAAAAAGAAAGAGACTCTAGTATTTCAACGCTAGACGTTCTCAAGACTAAAAAAGAGGACGGCAGAATAAGAAGTGTATATAGAAAACCCACACCAACTTTTCAGGTATGTTCATTTTTTCAGCTTCGTGCCTCTGAAATACAAACACAATCTAATAAAGTGCTTGGTTCACTGAGTAAGAGCAATCTGCTCTGACGAATGTCTCGATGAACAGTTTAATAATACAGTGTGGAGTCAAGCTGCAAATCATAAAAAAAAATATTATTAAACAGTTGCTGGGTCAGAACGGTTATCCAGAAAAGTTTATCGATAAGAATATGAATCAAAAGTCAATGAAGGCCAAAGTACCAACAGTTCCGAAAAAGGCCTTATTCTTACAACTTCAGTTCCTCGAATATAATATCAGTGAGACGTCAACACAACGCCTAAGGAATGCGGTATAAAAAGAGTATTCACTGCTACTGAATTGTGCTTTGTCTTCAAAACCACCCGTATTTTGCGTTTGGGAGTAAAAGATAAACTGCTTAATTTTGCCTCTTCTATGTGTATCTACCCATTTGACTGCTACTGTAAAGCCAGATACAAAGGCCATACGATTAGACGTGTTTACCGTCGGATTTCCGAAAATCACCCTGCGTGGTTAAGTAAAGGACAAACAAAATTCATTCATAGTGCTATTCTATATCATCTTGTGGATACAGAACACAAGATTGATGTTAACGAGGTTTTTAAATTCATCCACCCGATACTGACTAATCTTAACTTTACCTCAAGAGTTCGTTTACTACATATTGCTAAGGCCGTTGGGATCCACATTAACAAACCTAACTTATGTATCATAAAGAAGTTGGTTTAGACAGTGTCCTAACCTTGGCCGTCAAGGTTTTAATGATGTTCAATTTGTTGCGGAAATTTTCTCCTTAATGTTATATCTGATGTTCTATTTGCTGTTACATTTTTATGCCCATTAGTATTTGCGGAACCATAATTTTAATTATCTTACTTAGCAAATCTATAGTATTTAAAAATACTAATATTGTTAATTACGACTATTCTAGAATGTTCCGTAATATTATATATATATATAATTGTCGAGCCAGAAGAGAAAATTATCGAAAAGAATATTCTTTGTTCAGCTTTTCCTTCATATTAATAGGCTAGCAGTAAGGATAATTAAGGAAACCATCTTCAGGAAAGATTAAAAAGACTGTTGCCATGAAGGAAATTTTCGTTTCGGCGAAGTTATCAATAAAGCTGTGCATTTGTGTATATGTAGCAATTGGGTGAGAAAGTTCATGTTGGCCATGGTAAAGACACTGGTTACAAGTAATTTTTGGATACATAGCGTTGACTATGATTTCTGGATCACTAGTGTTTCAGAGATCCTAAACGTCTTGTCCTCACTCTCTTTGAGAGGTATGATCGGACCTCGTATAGGACATTGAAGGACTTTTCAAATGAAGCTGAGTTAGTTCACCATCTAAGCCAACTCTGTGTATTCAAAAGAAATATGTCTAACCTGTGTCTTTACCATGGTTAACATGAACAGTAAATTTTCTCAATAATTATTATCCTGCTATATTTTTCACCCAAACTTCCTGTTTATAAAGTATAATTATATTTCAATAGTTCACACAAAATGATAAGTTTTGTTACTAGTAATTTTGTTCGAAATATTACCAATTACAAAACTTATCATTGTGTGTAAACGATTGAAATATAATTACACTTTATTTGATCCAATCCACAATGCTCAAACTTTATACTGACATTAATTCCTCTTTATACTTTTATAATCAAGTTTTTAATTCCTATTGTAAATCTTAATATTCGTTGTATTTGAACCTTAGGTGAGAAATACTCCCGGAGCTTTTCACCCATTTACATAGGTGGCACAGAGGTTAGGACGCACACCAACTATACACATGGTCCGATGCTCGGTCCCCGGCCGACGGACACCTGATATTAATGGACAAACTGCTAAATTTGGGCTACCGATATCACTCGCTGAAAATTCCATACTTGTACCAAAATACCGTGTGGAATCAAACTATAATAGATAAATAAATAGATAAATACCTACACGGATGTACAGCCTAGTTGGCAATTTCATCGAAAAGTAAATTCTCTTCGATACAACCGTCTTTTTAATTTCCCCTATGATCTAATGTATATATCCGGTATTGTGTTAAAGTGTAGTAATTGATACGATAGAGAACAGCGTTATATACCAATGGCATTTCGTCTACAATTTATTCTTTAATAACAGAAATAATAATAATGATAAAAAAATGCCACGATTTGAAACCCCCAGTAAGCTTTAACAAATCAATGCAGCAAACAAAAAGAAACTAAAGAAGAGAAAAAGAAAGCTCTACATATTCAATCTTTACTTCTATCGAGTTATACACCTATAAATCAAGCGAACATCTAAAGTAAATGCTTCACTTGTTATAACAATAAATAAATAAATTTAATTCAATTCTACAACCGTAAAAGTTTAGAAAAAGCATACATATGCAGGTTTGCAAAAAACATCTTGGAGAAGTTTTGATCCCTGATACACTGTGCGCATTGTTACACGAAAAAGGTTGTGAAAGGTCTACGGAAACATAACAAAGTGCACAAATCCACAAAGATAGGCTTCGCTATATATATATATATATATATATATATAGGCAGTAGTATGAATCTGAGTAAAGTTGGTAAGAAAGACTCCACAAAGAGGAATTCTCTATAAAAAAGGAGCTGCGGAAACTGTTTTACATATTAATCCAAGAGAAATTTATCAGAATACTAATCTCGCTTAAAGTAGACTTTTCAGTTTCCATCAAAAAGTGTAGGACTTGGTTAGAAATAGTTGACAGTAATACACAAAGCTGAACACATAATAGAAGCGAAGTTAATAGATCATTGTATTTCCCGACGAAGGAGATAGAATTTCGCCAGTCACAGCTACTTCCATCAAAAATTTCTGAAAGAGAAAAAGGATAGACGTAGAGGGTGAATAAAGATATAAATAAATAAATAAACATCTGATGTTATGCAGCAATTGGGATGATCGAGAAGTATTTTAACCACAAAAGAACGGAGAAGAATTTCACTTGTAAGACTTCGTTGTAAGACTTTCACCTCCTTTTTAAACCTCATAGGACTTGCTGCAATCGTTGAGAAGCTACCTGAGTTGAGATGGCTAAGACACGTGTTGCGAATACTAGGCTATTGCCTTCGTCGACAAGCGATCTTGCAAAAAAGGTAAGTGATGGTCAGTTCATGAAGACTTTGACTATTAGTTACAGCTGCATAGGAAGTTGTAGAGCACCTGGGGGTTGAGTTTCGCATAAGTCTAACAACCAATGGCTGGAGACTGTTTGTGATATGGCTCAAAATCGTATTCAACAGTGCGTATGCATTCACTCTTAGCAGTCTCCTATATCCCCCAAACCGTTATTTCTTTCCAATGTTACTATTCTTTTTTTCACTCATATTTGTGTTTATTATAGTCCTTTTTGTATACCCTTATCTCTCTTTTGTCAAACTTTGTGGGTTACAGGGAATGTGGCGACTTTAACTATATTGGATCTCAGTCGGTTAATATTTCAATATAAAGTGAGTTTTTGAAATTATACACGAACGATAATAACTATCTTCCCTGATTACCTTTAACGTGATTGGTTATTGTCAGAGGTTTCGCTTATCATCCTTGTGTTCATTTGTATTGATATTGCTGGTTTCGTTGGACTTCTCTATTTGACTTTTTTCCAATCTGTGATTTATTCGGTATTTATTGATTTGTGTAGTTTTTTTTTGTGGTTTCCGAGGGATATGTTTTGGTGTCTGTTTGATTTTGGTGTAGGCGCTTTAGATGAAGTTGGAAGAATTTCCTTTTTCCTTGGAGACAGTTAAGTGGATATTTCTCTTCTAAACTCCTCAACATTTGAGTGTTGCTTTTGTGTGTTTATGGATATTCAGAATAATATTTGTAAACAATTTAATGACGTTCAAGTATTGGTTTGTAGGGATTCGGTTGATCGGTTACAGGATTTCATCACGAGCTGACATTATTTAGAGAACCATTGGAAAACCTGGACAGCTGTTTCGTCCTAGTTTGGGACTCTTCATCAGTACTCACATACCCGACTGGAATTCGAACCCAGGGCCTTCTGGTTACAAGGCCAGCGAACTCATAGACCGTAAAGCCACTGGGACCCGATCTAATGGCCCATGAATTCTAGCTTCTGCCAATTCATGATATAGCGAAACCGCTAGCGAATGTTTTCGGCGTGTATTTGTCCTCACACCCGACATGCTGCACCCTACTGGTCACAACTTCTCACTAGAACCCCAGGTAAGTACTTACCTGAATAGGGCCAGTCGACAGTGGAAATTCAAGTATTGGTTTGTAGGGATTTGGTTGAGTGGTTACAGGATTTGATCATGAGCTGATGTGATGTTGGATTGTTGTAATTGTAGTTGGGTATTCGGCCTACATTGATTGACTTTTTCTATACTTGTACTTCTAGGTTTCCTGTATTTGAATTCTGCGACAGAAATTTTGGTTGTCTGATTTCTCTGCTCTTTTCCGTCTGATGTTCTCGAATACGCAGGTGATTAGTTTGTGAATATATGACAAAACATCATTTTTTCTAAGCATGATAAATGTGTAACCTACGAAGTGTATCTAGATTTTAGATGTGATTATCATTTTTTTTAATCTTTTACGTTCCCAGTGAAACATAGGGCTTCAAGCGAGAGGCGGGATGGGGTTGCTAGCCTCATGCCTAACCTTCCCTCTTTATCAGTTTTATTACTGGCTTAGCGAGGTGAAGGAGTTCGTCGGTCAGGGATCGATCCCTGAGCATTCTACCTCTGCGCCACCGACGCGCCTAGATTTGATTATTGGTAAAATAAACTACGGTTTCTAGTTTTACCTGAAAACACATCAATTAGAAGGTCAACTATGCAAGCAATACTAATATACCAGCCTCTGAAGATAAACACTGGCAGCCGAGGTAAACAGGGGAGAATTTTAAAAACTCACTTCACATTGAAGTAAGCCCTGAAGACATATTGTTTAGAAAGGCAACGAAAGCATGAAAACAGTGAACTATCCTTCCCGGAGAAAACGATCACACAAGACAAAACACCCTAAATTATAACATTCCAAATACGAAGTATACTCTAGAAATTAAAAATACTGAAAATGCTTTCAGTCTGGTAGTCAAGTCAACACAAAAATTTTATTCTCGTGTTTGGTCGATCACTAAACGGACTGGATTGAATGTAACAGGTTAATTGTTTTGGTGAAAAGTAGAATAAGACGGCTTCGACTCAGTTTGATTGGCAACTATCGATTTTTGCAAAATCTATTATAACAAAACTAAACTGAGGTTACTTGAGGTGAGATTTTGTATTATTGCTGTTACAACAAGACAACAACGCTGGGCATTGGACAACTAAAGCATAATCAGATATTACCGGGGTGGGGTAGGAGCCATAGCTAACCGGATCAAAAGTATGCTACACTGATCAATAAAACAGAGGTCAGTGTATGGAAAAAAGAGTGAGACTGATAAGATACAAGTATAAACCTCGGGCACTGTGGTAAAGCATAACTCCATTATGGACAGAATAATAAGATGATGATTTTCGACAAGATGTTCCAGTGAAGTATTTCAGTGACAAACATTACTGTCGATACTGCCAGGTAACATGTGATTTCTGTAGGTGTGAGTCTTCACATTCATTTTCCTGTAGTTACTATAGTGCATCATCATTACACTCTTCTTAACACGTCAAATGCTCATATTTGCAGTGTTTTGCCTCATTTATCCTATAAATTGTCCTAAAGTTGATAGAATTAGCTATGTTTTAATTTTCAGGCGAATAACAACAACATTAGAAATAGACTGTGCACTGATGGTGTACAGTACTGTTCAATTACTTTCAGTCGTAAAACTGCCGATCCAGCATACGAACCACACAGTTTCAACTGTTGGCCATGACAAGAATTGGAAAACCAGCGTAATAGTTTTAGTGGTGTATGTTATGTTCTGCATAGATCTAAAGACGATTTACATAGAAACTCGCTGTTATCACTGTCGTAAGTGTGCATTCATGAAAGTTTTAAAAATCGCTCCAACATTAAGAGATACTGGCTAGAGTGAATTTCATAAGACTAGTCTTGGTCAACTTGGATCTTCCCAACTAATGCAACGTTTCTTCTTTGCGCTCCGATTCTTATGAACATTCTTCAGAAGATAGGATGAGGACATCTAGTATTATGAATATTTTTCGTTTGTGGAATACCTCTCTCAACCGTAACACAGAGCTTCAACAGCACATCACCACGGTGTTATGTTTTCTGTAGTCTTTTTTTTACCTTGCTCATGAGTTGTCATCTTTCTCCTCCATGTCACCCTAGGATTCTTAACCTGTCGCTGGGCCACTCGGTTTCCACTCGAAGACCTGACACGTGCTGTAACTAAACGGTCTCCATATCGTATGTCCAATGCCTATCCACTTCCTTCTAGATATTTGTGGGGAGACAGGTTCTTTGCTAGAGTTCCTTCTTATCTGCCGTTTCTAGCCACCTGATCTTCAGTATCGATCGGAAGCAGTTGTTGATCAACGTCTGACACACACACGCACACACAAAGTAATACTACTTGTGTTTGGTGAGAACTTTAGTGAACAGAAATGTTCGGGATGAAGTATAATAACACAGAAAATAAGAGCACTTAGTGGATCTGTAAGATTACAAACAGCGAATTGATCTGCACCACTGAGTAAGATTTCGAGCCATACGACCAATAGATTTTAGTGTTTGGATCTTAGAGACGAAGAGAGCTGCTGCACCGTACACAATACTATATAACAGTGGATTGAATAATCTTGTTCATAGACCAATATCAATAATCGACTGCTTTCACTGTCGAAAAACTTCGTCTTTCAAGTCATCTTATACCTAGCTGTGAATACGTTATACATTTTCCTGTCCGAAATAAAGGAGTTAGAGACATCATTGCATTTCTAATGGTGATAATCTTGCTATAGATGACTCATATACTAAACCAGTCAGTAATCAACTGGATCCTTTCTGCTGCATAATGGAAAGTGATTCAATTACCACAGAAACACAACGTTTACAGCTTGTAACTGAATTTTGTCGAAAAGAGAACAACTAACTGGCCGTCGGTTTTTTGCTGAAGTATGCCTTGCCAGTAGCCCTTTCTAAGGTCTTTAATTCATGAAAATAGTCATAGTAATCGTCGAACATCGAATTAGTCACCTAATGGCTCATTTCTGAGGAGTAATTCAAATCCACTTCTTTTTCTGTTGCCAGTCAGTCAGACAATAAAATAAGTGTCTAGTGGTGCAGTGAAGTTAATTAACTCAAATCAATCATTATTACTTCTTGAATCCCATAGTCGAATTCACACAGGTTATTTTTGCAGTGTAGAAAGTGATTCTTCTCAATCAAACACCTTAATATAAAGAATCTATATGATCAAGAATCAATCTTATTCAGACTACCTACCTCTACTTTATTGCTATTAACAACTTGCCCATTAACTAATCTGCAGATTGATTCACTAGTCAATGACCACCTTGTCATTGATGAATTGTACATCTTCTATGGCTGTGAACACATTTATGCCTAATGCATAGATGCATGAAGTCTAACTGTCTGGACTCAACACAGAACTTGGCACCGAAGTGCACCAGTTCGAGTTGCCACCTTCCAAATAGCACACAGAGGTAGACAAGAAGATGAGTGAAGAGAATCAATAGAGTTTGACAAGTATAAGAGTGAAACAGAATGGGTAATGGTAGAAAGGAATATGAAAGATTACAGAGACTGAATACATCTGCCCTGGCCATTGACAACGATTTTGAGCCATGTCACCTATTGTCTCCAGCCATTGATTCATAGAGTCCCGAGGGCACCAACCCAGAAGTCTACATCTCCCAACCTGACCGACTCAGTTTAACTGTCAAGGACTTCATGGATTGATGAGGCCATGCTTTTGTTTGGCCACCACTTACCCTTTTCCAACCTGCACCTATATCAGCTAGTAATGCCCGTCGGGGGAGGCGGTGGTTAGGCATGCGCAGCACGTGACCTAGCCATCTTAGTCTATGTAACTTTATAGCCTCGTCGATTGGTTTTCCCCCTTTGCCCAACACTCTACACCTAACGTCAACATTATCTACCCTATGATACCATCTAAGGTGAGAAAGACATCATAGACATCTATGATCGAAAGCAGTCAACCTTTTCATGTCATCAACTCGTATTGGCCATGTTTCAGAGCCATAGAGAAGGACGGAGTGAATTGCTGAGCGGTACATACGTCTCTTGGTTGATAGCCGGAAGTCACGCCTACGCCAGAGATGGTGTAAGTCAGCGAAAGTAGCTCGAGCTTTTTGGATCCGTGCTGAGATTTCGTCGCCAATCAGTCCATTGGTGCTGATACAACTTCCCAAATATGTGAAGTGGTCAACATGTTCTATCACTTCACTCCCTATCACTAAGTTAGGGGTTGACGTGGTCCAGTCCTGTAGCAGCATCTTACATTTCGCAGGGGTGAACCGCATGCCAAACGTACGAGGATTGCTTCTCAAGGTGTTCAGAAGACTCTGCATTTTGTCACCATCCTCCCCTAACAGGACTATGTCATCTGCATATTCCAAGTCCATAAGACTATTCCCTGGTAACAAGTCGATTCCTAAGTCGTTACGTTCAGTTAAGGATACTTCCATTAGCATATCTATGATGAAGTTAAACGGGAATGGGGATAATGGGTATCCATGACGGACACCACTGGTTGTTATCAATTCAGATGGCAATTCCCCATAAGCCCTTACACGACTACGTGAGTTTGAATAGAGTGCCTTGATTAGTGCAATTTACTTTCTTGGCACTCCCTTCACAGTCAGACATTGCCATAGTACCTTTCGATCCACGGAGTCGAAGGCCGCCTTCAAGTCAAGAAATATGACAATTGTTGGACGCCGAAAAGTGTGTCTATGTTCTAGAATCTGTCGGAGAGTGAAGATATAATCTATGCACCCTCTACCTGGTCTAAAGCCTGCTTGATTTTCCCTCGTCTGTTCCTCCCGAGTTCTGCTTAGTCTGTGCATGATTACTGAGCCTAGAATTTTAGAAACTATGTTCGTTAGGCTGATCCCCCTATGATTATCACATGAGGACTTGTTTCCCTTATTGAATATCGGTATAATAAGTGACTTATCCCAGACTAATGGAACCGTGGCTGATTCCCAGAAGTTGCCTAATATCTTATTTAATCTACATACTAGTATGTCACCCCCATATTTAAACACCTCCGGAATAATTCCGTCGGGTCCTGCCGCTTTGCCTCATTTCAAATTGCAGATAGCTTTTGTGACCTCAATTACAGACGGCGGACCAGTGTCTATATCCCATTCGGGTGTGTGCTGGATGGCGTGGAGGTTCAGTGTGGCTGTAGGAAAGTTTAATTGTTCCTTAAAGTGTTCTTTCCAGCATTCAAGGCGTCTATCCTGAGAGCTAATTAAGGAGCCATTTTTCTCAGAAATAGTCTCACTTATGATTTGCCTTCTCCCACCCGTTTCCCTGATGAGTCTAAAGAGTTGCCTAGTGTTGCCTATCGCCGATGCTTTTTCCATCTCTCTCGCCTTTGTCAGCCACCACTGTTGAGTATTGAGAATTGAGTATTTTCAAGCTATCCACCTTGGATGGTAGCAAAGCAGAAGATGAAAAAATATACACCACTGAGAATGACATTCAGCGATGACATCAAACAGTGTCTAACCACTAGTTCTTAGCCTAACGAGGACATTAGATGAACGATCGACAGTTTTACGTGGCTCGAACTAATGATCAACGACTTTATGAATAGGTGTCATGTTTTGATCTGGTCATCTTCAACTTTTTTTAAGCTGGACCTACTATTTCCGACCGATAGCTGCTACCTTGGCGTGGTGGTCGGGCTTGCACATCGCGATGACCCAACAAGCTGCACTGGCTGGAACCAATGTTCCTGCAGGTCCTACCATGCCAGGAAGATTGTTAGGATATCGATTAGACTAAAATCAGTCACCGGCCTTGTGTAAGAATCTTTCTTATTGTACATCCCGACTTACCCTGCGGTGGTCCGTAACCGGCGGTAGGTTTACTAATACGGAACCAATCCCAGAAACCAGTTCATACAGGCCGTGTGTGACCGGCCTCAAGCAGTTGTCTCCTGGGCTCTGCGGTCACGCAACACTAACCTGCTTTCTGTTTCAGGTACCCGAAGAATCATTCAACTTCCATGGTGTGGACAGCCGGGCAGTAACAGCGGCCCACACAGTTCCAAAAGTACACGAAGCCTTCCTGAGCATCATTCTCCGGACCTACTATTGAAGCTGACATTATTCACTGAAGAATGTAATGGCTTAGCATGCATGACGCATATCATAGCCATCGCAATCGATGAAGCTTCACACCTAACACTCTACGTGTACCCTCGTTATTTCTGATAATATTGTGCACACTATCACAGGAAACAGAATGCAGACATGTTGTGATCAAAGATAGCCAGTCTCTTTATATCATCTTTCACTTTCAATGGTTATGTCTTAGCCGTGAAGAAGGACAGGGGAGAGAATTGCTGAACAGTAAAAACAGCTGGATATCTCACACCAGCACCAAGAACAACACAAGTCGACAAACAAGTGAAACGAGAAATTCTCATCTATGCCGAGAATTTGTTAGCAATCAGTCCGTAAAAAGATGATACGATTCCGTTGGGCAATACACACTGAGCTCACCTTTAATACTTCACTAGACTGGACAGTATTCATTCCAGCGCCTCGAATGTCCGAGAGAAGATTTTTCACTAAACGTGAAATTGCAGAATCTTTACAATTACGTAACAATTCATTCTTTTCAAATGTCGAGATAGATTGATTACAGTATGCATCGGTAGAGTATAACAAATTGATCATTTCTAGTGTACTAGCTAATGGGATTACAATTCTTTGTCGTTCATTTGTATAATCTTTAAGGTAGGCTGCACTTCCTGTAGACAAAGAGAGAAATAGTTAAAACATTTTATAAAAGGCATATAGAGACATTAAAATTTATTTCCCTAGTGTAAAAAAGAAATCAATTTTTATGCAATCACAAAGATTATATTGACTATTTAAAAAAAATATAGAATGCTAAGAACTTGTGTCACTTAGAAACCTTTCAACATAGTGGACAGTAGAGTTAAGCTATAAAACAGCTATCATCAAGAATCTTATAAATTCCCATCAACCAACCAAGGGAAAGAAAATTTTGGGGGAGAGGGAATAAGACTAATTCTCCTTTTTATAGCTGTCTCAGTTAAGTGTAATCTGTTATCCATTATCTACAAAAAATCAGAAAACCAAAGCAGCAGCAAACTATGAGCGAACAAAATAAATGTATGACATTCATGATGGATCGGTTGTTTCAAGGGCATTTAGAGGTTTTTTTCACCTTAATTTTTTGCACTGACAGTTGAAAATTCAATCCAGTTCAGTTTTGTCGACACTTCCTTCTTCTTCTTCTTCTTCTTCTTCACTTTTGAGTTCAAAACTCAATCTTTCTTTATTTTTTTTTATTACAGCTTGATTCCACACCGTATTTTTGGGACAAGTGTGGAATTTTCACCGTGGATATCGGTAGCCCAAAATTCGCAGGCCGACCATAGATATCAGGTATGCGTCTGTGTGGGCTTGAACCCCGGACCATGTGCATGGTCGGCGAGAGTCCTAACCACTGTGCCACCGACGTTGACTTGGAATATGCAGATGATATAGTCCTTCTAGGCGAAGACGCTGACTAAATGCAGAGTCTTATAAACACCTTGAGCCGTAATCTACGAATGTTCGGCATGCGATTCGCTCCCGCCAAATGCAAGATGATGTTACAGGACTGGACTACATCGACGCCTAGTTTAAAAATAGGAAGTGAAGTGGTAGAGCACGTTGACCGCTTCACTTATTTGGGAAGTACCATCAGCCCCAACGGGCTGATCTCTGACGAAATCTCAGCACGAATACAGGGGGCTCGTTTTGCATTTGCCAGTTTACGCCGACTCTGGCGTAGACGAGATGTTCGACTATTGACCAAAGGGCGGGTGTACTGCTCATCAGTCCGCTCCGTCCTCCTTTATGGCTGTGAGACCTGGCCACTGAGAGTGGAAGACATGAAAAGATTAGCTGTCTTTGATCATAGGTGCCTGCGTTCTATCTCCCGTGTGAAGTGGCATAATAAGGTGAGCAACATTGAGGTTAGGCGTCGAGTTCTAGGTAAACAGGGGAAATCAATCGACGAAGTTGTGAAGTTACAAAGGCCGAAATGGTTAGGACATGTGTTACGTATGCCTAGTCATCGCCTCCCTCGACAAGCAATGTTAGCGGATATAGGGTCAGGCTGGAAAAGAGCTAGCGGTGGTCAAACAAAAACTTGGCACCAGTCAATGAAATCCACAACAGTTGGTCTAAGCCACGTAGGAAGGTGTAGACTTCCAGGCTGGGGTCCTCGGGACGGTAAAAATCTATGGTTGGGAACAATTGGTGACATGGCTGAAAATCGTTCTCAGTGGCGCAGATGCATCCACTCCTTGTGACTTATGATCTCCAATGAAACTGTTTTGTTCTTCGTTATTACTCTTCCTTTGTCTCACACCTCTGCTTACTGTCTCTATTATGCTTTTCTTGTACTTTCTTCTCTTGCTTCGCGTGCTACGCGGAGTGTGGCGACTTGAACTTCCGCACATTTGTGCAAAGTTCTATGTCGAAAACAGACAGACAGGATGGAATGCATAAACCTATGCCTAACAACATACTTCCAAATATATGAACAAGTCAAAGGAACACTCATGGGATCGCCAATATCAGTGATGCAAAGGCTCGAAAACATAACTCTACCAAAGACCAAACTCAAGATTTGGATAAGTTACGTGGACGACACATTGATAATAATCAAAAGAAACGAGTTAGATAAAACTCACAACTTAATAAACAACGTCTTCAACGACATCAAATTCACAAGAGAAGAAGAATCCGAGAGCAAAATACCATTTTTGAACGTCTTAGTCAAGTGAACAATGGCAGGGAGATTAGAAACTCAAGTTTATAGGAAATCAAATCACACAGACCAAATCCTGAATTACAACAGCAACAATCCAATAACACACAAAAGGAATTGCATGCAAACACTATTCAAGAGGGCCAGGACTCATTGGGGCACTCCACCTTAAGGAAAATTGAAGAAAGATATCTCAGGGACGTCTTCCAAAAGAATGGATATCCATGTAATTTCATCAAAATAATAATAATTTGCTTTATTCCAGAAACAGTGTTAGTGGTACAGTGTGGAATTTTCAGCACTTATCTACAATATTGCATCTAATTTTATCAAACATTTAAAAGGAGTATTTCAAAAAATAAATATAAAAAAAACAACGAAAACACAAAATAGCGAAAAGATAACAAGAAGTAGAATGCAAAATAAACAACATAATAAATAATATCTCAGTATTGGGCAGTGGAAGCTATGATATGTTTATGCGTGGTGAACAGTAAAACTATATCATACAAGAAGTTATAAAATGATGTCAAGAATGTTTATCGCATGGTCAGTTAATCTGATTGAACAACACTAAACAATCATAAAATAAACATTTCAGGTGTTGTTTTTTTATTGTCAGATCCAATGCGGTGTTTGTAGTGGTAGTGTGAGCAATCCTGCATAATACAAAATTTTTAAGATGGTGATAATGGCATTCACAACCAAGATTATCAGTTAATATTGTTCAACAAAAACAACCACAAAACTAATACTACATGAAGGTTTATGACAGGACAATTTATAATACTCATAGTGCTAATATTGTCAGAACCAGTAGATACACAAAAGAAGGAATAAAGTAAAGTACAAAAAAGCCAATGTTAATAATTTAGGTAGCTAAGTATGTTCAAGAAGATGTTTACTATAGAATAAAAAAGGAGAGAAATAAAAGAGCCAAAATTATGTTATTAACAACAAAGGAAGTCATAGGTTTCGCGCTTAACATTGTCTCTATCACTTAGAACACGGGTCAAATATGGTATCGTTGAGTTTCTACACTTAGTTGTTCGAGTATATATTATTTTGTACTGATTTCTGGTTCTACCTGATGAGATACATGGAGAGAGTTGGGAATAGAGAAGGTGCTGGGGTCGAAGAGTATGCTTTTAGACCATTTTTCGCATGTATTCAGATGCCTTTCTACTAATGTAGTGACGAGCCGACTGAGTTTTACACCACTGGTCCTACTAACTACCTTTAACATCCTTCTCAGGATGGTATAGCCCTTTTTCAGTAGCCTTGGAAAGACCAATGGGGAGCAGTAAAGTAGAATAGGTACGGTACGAGAGTTGACAAATTGTGAAAGTAGAGATTGGGTGATTCCAGATAGTCTAAGCTTCTTAATATAGTAGGCTAGACGGAACCCCTTTTAGAAATTGTTAGGATATGAGATGACCATGTAAGGTCGGAAGATAGAACTAGTCCGAGGTATTTTGCATTAGACTTAGTTTCGATTTTAGTCCCCTTAATGCTACAGGCTTCATGAGTGCTTACTAGTGTTTATAGATCTCGTTTATGCCTAAAGGAGAAGTCAATAGTCTGGCATTTTGAGGGATTCAGCATGAGGCCATTTAGTTTAGACCACTGACCGATGTCCGACAGGAAGCTATTTAATTTGAAACAGTCTGACTGACACAACGGGGAGCGAAACAGTCAGGTCATCTGCATATTTGACGAAGTTGATTTTGTCTGAAAGAGGTAAGTCATGTAAGAAGAAGGAAAAGAGAAACGGAGATAGAATAGCACCCTGAGGAACACCAGCTTCAGTTAGCAAAGGAGAGGAAGCTACACCATTATATACCGTGTACTGCATCCTATTGGAGAAGTAAGAGTGCAGCCAGTTGACAGCCCAGGACTCAGTTTGTGTAAGGCTAAGCTTGTTTAACAAAAGCCCTCTAGGTACAGAGTCGAAAGGAGATGTGTAATCAAGGAACGTACAACGAACATACTTGGCCCCTTTGTCTAAGGAGGATACAATGTTGTGATGAAACACAGCAGCAGCGTCTAAAGTAGTTGTACTCTCTTTGTAAGCAAACTGCTTTGGATCATTTGAGAAGCTTCGGGAAGGAGTAGGTTTTAGTAACAATAAATTCTACATAAGTTTCAAAAAAGGAGAGGTGATAGCAATAGGTCTAAACTTTACACTATTTCCAGAACCAGAACCAAAAGACATATACCCCCAAGCCAATCTATCAAACCAAACACGCCCAAGGAAACCACAAAGAAAATCGCCTCACCATATACAAAGGATATCTCAGGAATCACTACAAGACTCTTCAAACCTTTAGGAATTGACCTCGTACACAAACCAACAAAGTCACTTCACTCAGTTCTATATCAACCAAAAGACTCAACAGCGAAAGAAGATAAAACCAACATCATCTACAAAGTCAATTGTAACAACTGCGAAAAACACTACATTGGCCAAAGTGGACGTCCCCTTCGTCTTCGTATCCACGAACATAAGCTAGCCGTCAAAAGACATGACATCCACTCCCTCGTTTACATCACTACATACAGACAACCACGGACATCAATTCGACTGGGACAACCAACGTTCAAATATTAGACAGAGGAAACAACAACAATGCTAGAGGATTTTTAGAAGCCTACATGGTATTCCAGTGAAACATCAATCAGTAGACACATCGAGATAGACAAAATTTATCAACCGATAAGAAAGAAACCTCACACACAAAGGGTCAAAGTTCAAGTCAGAGAAACAATCAGTACCAAAAGCGATACAAGTAACATAGAAGGTGTGAAAACACACAAAAACAACCAATCACGTCCAAGGTCGCCAAGAGAGATGATTAATAAACTCGTGGAGAAATCAAAAAGCTCACTTCAAATTGAAGTATGCGCTGAAGGTGTCGCCTAATGGGGCGATGAGACCTTCGCAAATTAACTAACTACCCA